AAGGGTAATCGGCCACATTAAAATTACCTTCTGCGGATGTTCGTTTGATATCCAAAAACTGCTCAGCAACAGTTGGACAAGTGGGAAATGTTGGAGTAAACCATAGAAGGTTGGGTAGAGCCGTCTTGAGGCACTAGTAAATACATCTTAGGGTCATATATTGCCGTTTGGAACCATATATGACCATTATATGTTGTCATAAATGTCCGTGGTAAGCTTGAGTTCACGAAATCGATGCAAGGTTTGAACTGGTAAATTCACCGTTTTAAGAAAAATTGGATGGTTCCACCCACCTGATTGGACTCCCGGAGGATATTTGGGACCATGCTAAACATCTCGGCATTTTTTATTTCCGGGCAAAAAAAAGTCAAAATATTCAAAAATTAAAGACTATTATTCACGCTTTTGAGGAATTTCGAAGCTCACGGGGCCCGGGGCCGAAAATTCTTTAGGCCCTAAGAGAAACATCTCAGGGTCATATAATGCCCATTTGGAACCATGTATGACCATTAAATGTTGTCGTAAATGTCCGTGGTAGGTTTGAATTCACAAAATTGTTGCAAGTTGAGAACAGGTAATTTGACAGTTTTAAGTCAAATTGGATGGATCCGGCCACTAATTGGACTTCGGGAGGGTATTTTGGACCATGCTAAACATCTCGGCAATTTTTATTTCTGGGCAAAAAAAGGTTAAAAAAATTCCAAAAATTGAAGGCTATTATCCACGCTTTTTGAGAAATTTTGGAGGTCACAGGGCCCGATGGCGAATAGTCTTGAGCCCCTAGGAGATACATCTCAGGGTCATATAATTCCGTTTGGAACCATATATGACCATTAAATATTTTCATAAATGTCCGTGGTGGGCTTGAGTTCACAAAATCGGTAAAAATTTTAAAGGGGTAAATTGACCGTTTTAAGGCAAGCTGGATGGTTCCACCCACCTATTTGTACTCCCGGAGGATATTAGGGACCATGGTAAACTGATCGTCCATTTTATTTTTGGGCTAACAAAGGTCAAAATTCCAAAATTAAAAGCTATTATCTACACTTTTGAGGTATTTCGGAGGTTACGGGGCCTAGTAGCGAAAAGACTTGAGGCCCTACGAGATACATCTCATGGTCATATAATGCCGTTTGGAACCATATATGACCATTTTATTTAGTCATAATGTCCGTGGTAGGTTTGAGTTAACGAAATCGTTACAAGTTATGAACGGGTAAATTGACCGTTTTAAGGCAAATTGGATGGTTTCACCCACCTTATTGGACACCCGAACGGTATTAGGGATCATGGTATACATCTCGAAAATTCTTATTTCCAGACGAAAAAAAGGCAAAACATTTCAAAATTGAAGGATATTATCCACGCTTTTTGAGGAATTTCGAAGGTTACGGGGCCTGGTGGCGAAAAGTCTTGACGCCCTATGTAACACCCTAGAAATTCCTATCTTATAAAATACCTGTGTTTGCCCTGTTTAAAACTTTAAATAGGAATATCTAAGACAATACCACGACTGTGAAAACAGTTAAGGCAACTATCAAAGACACACAGTGGAAGACTAATTTCAAAACCATTCAAAACAAGTCAACTTGAAAAGTCAATGAACGAAAGTAAAGTCAAACCAAAGTCAAACGAAGTTAAATAAAATCAACCTACAACTTGGAACCATTATAGGCCCTTATTAAAACCAAACCGAACTCAAACCTTTTTGTTATTCACGCATAATAATGATTTCATAAATAAATAAAGCAATAAACACATCATATACTTACAAAAACTAGTATGATTCGCTATTCACTCATGCCCATTCATGAATATGCTTCATCACCTGAAAAGCTTCTCTCTACTTGTTTCCACTACTCTCCATTAAAAATGGGTCACCATAGGACCAAGATAAAGACAAGGCCAACAAACACACAAAACACACAATCAGCAAAGCTGATTACATAAGCGTAATTAACACTCAAGCATACAATTCCCTATTAACACACAACTTACCTCGTTGCACCTGTTTTTTTCAAGCATACAACAACCAATAAAACTTCTCACTAGACACTACATAATTTATTTAATGTTGACTACGCATCGAACGGGTTTCCCCCTAACCTCCCCCAAATAAATTGATTTTACTGACACTGGAGCTAACCGTGCCAGCATCAATAACCACTCATAGGTTTACCTTGGATTTTCTCCACTCTGGGAAAAGTTTAATTTGCCTCATATATTGAATATTTATACCCCTTCTCTAGAAACCCTTCTCCCTAAACTTTCCTATTTTAATTTTCCTAATCCCTTCCCTAATAAAACTTTACTAAAATAAACTTTACTTAAATTAAACACCGACTTAATTAAATTAATTAATTAAATAAACTTTCCTTTTATAAATATTTTCAAACTTATTTAAAACAAATAATTAAAATACTTTAAATAAAAAAATTCAATTAATTAAATACTTGTCAAAATACTTAATTTAATTAAAATATGTATAAAAATACGAGGTATTACACCCTAGGGGATATATCTTAGGGTCATATAATTTCGTTTGGAAGTTGTGAACGGGTAAATTGACCGTTTTAAGGCAAATTGGATGGTTTTACCCACCTAATTGGACTTCCGGAGGGGTATTAGGGACCATGGTATACACTCGGAAATTCTTAATTTTGGGCGAAAAAAAGTCAAAAAAATCAAAAATTGAAGGCTATTATCCACGCTTTTGAGGAATTTCGGAGGTTATGGGGCCCGGTGGCGAAAAGTCTTGAGGCTCTACGGTATACATCTCAGTATCATATAATTCCGTTTGGAACCATATATGACCAATATATGTTGTCATAAATGTACGTGGTAGGCTCGCGTTCACGAAATCCATGCAAGTTGTGAACTGGTAAATTGACCATTTTAAGGAAAATTGGATGGTTCCACCCACCTAATTGGACACTCGGAGGGTATTTGGGAACATTCTAAAGATCTGGGAAATTTTTATTTCTGGTCAAAAAAGGGTCCAAAAATTCCAAAATTAAAGGCTATTATCCACGCTTTTTGAGGAATTTCGGAGGTCACGCGGCCCGGTGGCGAAAAGTCTTGAGTCCCTAAGGGATATATCTTAGGGTCATATAATGCCATTTGAAACCATATATGACCATTAAATGTTGTCGTAAATGTCCATGGTAGGTTTGAGTTCACGAAATCGGTGCAAGTTGTGAATTAGTAAATTGACCGATTTAAGTCAAATTGGATGATTTTTCCCACCTAATTGGACTTTTGGAGGGTATTTGGGACCATGCTAAACATCTCGGTAATTTTAATGTTCGGGCAGAAAAAGGTTAGAAAATTCCAAAATAAAAGGCAAAATCCACGCTTTTTGAGGAATTTCGAAGGTCACGGGGCCTGGTGGCGAAAAGTCTTGAATCCCTAGGGGATACATTTCGGGGTGATATAATGTCGTTTGGAACTATATATGACCATTATATGTTTTCATAAATGTCAGTGGTAGGCTTGAGTTCACGAAATCGGTAATAATTGTGAACGGGTAAATTGACCGTTTTAAGGCAAATTGGATGATTCCACTCACCTAATTGTACTCCCAAAGGATATTAATGACCATGGTAAACTTCTCGGCAAATTTTATTTTCGGGCGAAAAAAGGTGAAAAAATTCCAAAATTGAACGCTATTATCCTTGTTTTTTGAGGAATTTCAGAGGTTACAAGGCCCTGTGGAAAAAATTCTTGAGTCCCTATGGGATACATCTTAGGGTCATATAATGCCGTTTGGAACCATACATGACCAATATATGTTGTCATAAATGTCTGTGGTAGGCTTGAGTTCACGAAATCGGTGCAAGTTGTGAACAGGTAAATTAATCGTTTTAAGGCAAATTAGATGGTTTAACCCACCTAATTGGACTCCCGGGGGTATTAGGGATCATGGTAAACATCTCGACAATTTTTTTTTCAGGGGAAAAAAAGGTCTAAAAATTCCAATATCGGAGGTCACGAGGTCACGAGGCCTAGTGGAGAAAATTCTTGAGGCTCTAGGGGATACATCCCAGGGTCATTTAATGTCGTTTGGAACCATAGATGACCATTAAATGTTGTCGTAAATGTCCGTGGTAGGTTTGAGTTCACGAAACCGGGGCAAGTTGTGAACGGTTAAATTGACCGTTTTAAGGCAAATTGGATTGTACCACCCACCTCATTGTACTCCCGGAGGGTATTAGGGACTATGGTAAACTTCTCAGCAATTTTTATTTTCAAGCGAAAAAAAGTCAAAAAAAATCAAAAATTGAAGGTTAGTATCCACGCTATTTGAGGAATTTCGGAGGTTACAAGGCCTAGTGGCGAAAAAACTTGAGGCCCTAAGGGATACATCTCATGGTCATATAATTCTGTTTCGAACCATATATGACCAATATATGTTGTCATAAATGTATGTAGTTTTTATTATTATTATTATTGCTTCCTTGTTGGTTATTATTATTGTTTTTATTATGCTTAATATAATTGTTTTATATAATTGCTTATAGCTTTTAACCATGCTTAATTTTATTGCTTTGTTTAGTTTAAATTTAATTATGTGCGAGTAGTTTAATTCTAGGGTTTTTGGGGATCCATAAATAATATGAAAGGATGATTTATTATTGTTGATTGTCAATGCTTGATTGATTTCCTATTGATTGATTTAATGCTATGCAATTATATTTAGCCAGGTTTAATTGTATCAAGCCTATAAATGTCCAACATTGCCCCTAAAACATGTTCAAATTCTTGTAAATGAACCTTTTTTTGGCAATTACATGAAGAATTTTTTTTGTTGAACCAGAGGGGCAAGCCCCAAAAATGAAACAAGAGAAGTACGTACAAACTAAAAGAGAAAAGCACAATAGGTGATAGGATTACAGAAAGCAAAGAACAAAAAATAAACCCCGCCACCACACCCTAAACCCTGACATACTATACGATGTCACTTTGGAACAATAGCATGAGGAATAAGAAAGAAAAAAAGAAAAAACAAAAGGTTGTTAAATGTTCCATTAGCTTGCAGTTAATCACAAGTCACAACAAATGCCGCCAAATATTCATGCAACATTACCTAGAGATTTAAGGGAGGGGGATACTACACTTCACCAGTATATCTTTTTTTGACACAATAAGATTTTGGAAAGCAAACGAATACATACTTGGCAACTTTATAAACTTGATTGCTTGCTGAGCACGCTCACAACAATGGAATGATGAGAAACTACACAGCATTCCGGTGTAATTCATCTTAATCAGTTCCACACTTCTTGACTTTGAAGAAGATAATAGCTAAATAATAGCGAGAGGAACAGAGTAAGGATGCAAGATACAATAAAAGAATTGCTGCCACAGAACCAATTGCATATCAAATCCACATAACCAAAGTTGAATTGTAGCTAAAGTTCCCAAGGCAAAGATTCCCAGCAGAAATCTGACTTGACCAAAGCACCCCCAACCAAAAACATTGTCATAAGCATGTCAGGACAATAAGCCTGTTTAAGTTTGACTGATAGGCAAATCAAATACAAACAATTACATCTCTTGCCATGACATTAACCCATGCCTGTGCTAGTCCCTGTTACAGGTCGCAACATTTGATGACTCAAAGACTGGCCACTCCCTTGAGCACCAAACATGACACTTGACGGCATCCCTGAGGAAGAAGGTTGTATGGCTGAAAGCGGCAAGCGGGGCCCAAAAGAGAACATTTGCTGACGTGGTACAAAAGACATCTGTGGATGGTTCATTTGGCTATTGGCATAGCCAGAAACCCCAGGCTGTGACGGTGATGCTACTGGTGGTTTACTGTTGATATTATTATTAACTTGACCAGACAAATTTATTGGTGAAGGAACTCCACTGGTTCCAAATCTAGTAGTACAAGCACGAGCCCTTTCACCAGCCAGCCTTTGCCTCGTTTTCTCAACTTGTTCACATTCCTTCATTAATAAGGTCTCCACTTCGGCAAATTGCTTCAGCTTCAATTCCAATCTCTTCAACTGCTTCACCACAAAATGTTGCTTATATTTTCACAGGAATTGTAAAAGGAAACTAACAACATAAGATACTCACACTCCACAAGATTAAATCCCTAATTTATTAGCTGATAATTAAAAGTGTATTTGCAAGGCTAATCTGGCCTTCGCCTTTCACAATATGAAAATAATGTTCACCAACCAGAGTAAATCAACATATTATTTGAATACACAACAAAAAGCCTTGTTACATGCTACTTCAAATTTAATAACTTTCCAATTGACCAGGTTCCAAAGAAAGACTTTTGGAAAAAGGGTCATATAGAAGAATAAATTTAATTGACCAAGTTCCAAGGAAAGACTTTTGGAAAAAGGGTCATATAGAAGAATAAAATTTAGGCTCTAACACATCAAAGCAAGAGAACTAACAAGCTTGTTTTGGACAATTACATAGTCTTCTTTATGCCATCAAAATACTAAATTAAGCCATAATCACCAAATCCAGCTATCAGACTGTCTTATTTTGTTCATGAAATTAACATTGGCAAATTAGAATTGGAAACAAAAAGTTCAAGGACACTAATACCTGATGATTTATAATATTAGCAGACAGCCTCTGTATCTCCCGCTCTTCATGGTCTGCAAACAATTTTGCTTTCATTGTTGCAGCAGCAAGACCAGCTTTTGCAGCACATTTGACTTTCTCGGCAGATAATGAAGATGCTTCTGAATTTAATTTGTCTAGATCCCAAGAACTTTGTTTGGTCAAATTCAAATAGAATATCAAGAAAAAGAGTCCCTACTTACTAAACCGATATCAATAAAAACATTCATTCAACCAAAGGTTTTAGAAGAGTAGAAGAAAAGAAGATAAAGCAACACCTTACCTTTCAGCTGACTGAATTCTCTCTGCACAGGACCTTCATCTGAATCCATCCTTCAATATTATATAATGAACAAAAAAATTATTAAAAAATATAATACAATATAAATAAAAGGTAAGCCAACCCCCCAAATCGAAAAAAAAAAAATACTAACTCTGTATATTATTAGTTGCAACTTTGGGGTATTATTTGTGAGATATAAAATATTCCAAAGTTGCAACCAATAATACACAGAGGTAGTAGAAAATATATAAAAAGGTATTAAACTTTGGTAAGGGACAAAACAATAGAAACCATAAAAATATACAATCTCTGTGACAGCCAGTAATTCAGCAACCGTAATTGCTAAATGATTGGAAATTTAGGGTTTTTTTGTAATTGATTGAGGGTCTTTGCTCAAATTACATACTTCGTATTAAGATCATCTATAGCATTAATTTGATGAAATTTTATTTTTTTCTTTCAATCAATATCACGTCTGCCTTTCCACACGCATCCGAATGAAAGACGGCCCAGGCACATCGCCTAGCGCCTCGTCGAAGAAGAGGGAAAGCGTGCGCCTTAGCTCGCCTTCTAGACAGTGCCATACCTTTCATTTTTTAAGTGATTATATCTCTGCACCTTGACTCACCTTGCACCTAGGCACACTTTTTAAATCTAAGCGTCAGATTCGAATTTCTACCTTCAACCTTCAATGAGAGCTTATGGACAGTCAATGACATCAAAAGTCACCGTGATGATTTAGCACCCACCCCACAATTTACAATTTTAGGATGCAATGAACCCACACCTACCACCAGTTACCTTTATGTAAGGCAGGAGAAAGAAACAGAAACAACAGGCGCAACAGAACAGCAGCAGCATACAACCACTATGAGCACAAGCAACATAGGCAACAACGGTTCTTTAAAGGGGAGGCATCTTTGGATTATTAGCTATTGTACTGTAGGTAATTTAGCAAGAAGACAAAGGATAGTAAAGGTAGCAATTAAGGCACTAGGCCACTTATGTATTACAATTGAGTAGTATAAATAGAACTAGCCTAAGAGAGAGAAGGCAGGAAGAAGATTATTGTAGAGAACCCTTGGAGAGTAATGACCTAAAGCCATTGACGTTGTACCCGAGCTTTACACTTTATCAATCAAAAATTAACCTTCCGACCATTCATTGTTATTGAACCACTTAGTTCGTTGCATAGGAGCAGAACAGAAAAATGAAACTAAGACACTTGAAGTATTCAAATGGAATCACCTTAGTAAATTTTAAACAATTTGCAGTCATCATTGTAGCTCTTTTCTAGGTTCAAACTTCAATGATAGCTAATGCCTATTGGACAGTCAATAACATCATTAAAATTCACCATGATGATTATGTACCCACCCCACACTTTGCAGTTTTATGAGCAGAACAGAAAATGGAGCTTAAAACACATTAAGTATTAAATCGATCAACAGACATTTCTTGCAATACATAGAGAAAATTCAACTTTCAAAAAACTTTTGGGGGGTATTTATTTTAAGGTCTACATGAAAGGGTAAGAGAATCAAGTAGGTTGATTCCCTTATGTCTTTTTTTTAGGCAAATCTATCATTCCGTTCCCCCCCCCCCCTTTTAAAAAAGGTTTCACTTACCCTTCACACAAGACCCACAAAACTACCCCCTTAATAGCCCCCCAACTACCCACTACCCACCCTAACACCCACCAACCACCACGAATTTAGTAAGAAGGAAGAGAAGCTGCCAGTGCCAAGAAAGAAAGAGGGAACACGGTGGTGATCAGTGAGAGAAAGAAGAGAGGATGATATTATAGTGCTAGCCTAAACAACAAAAGATATCAAAGAATTTTTCTATCTTTCTTCTTCATCCCTTTCTTGTGCCATTTCCTTTCCCCTTTGCGAATCGAACTCCCCGTAAATGCCTAAATCATGTGCCCCTATATCCTAAAGCAACAAACACACACACTCTTCCAATTCATCCTTTCCTTTTCCCAGACTAACAAGAATCTTCAACATGTTCTTACACGTAATAGATCCTTTTTTATGGAAACACTTGTATCTTGTTCAAGTAAACTTGCCCTTTCACAATTCCAATCATCAAAACATATGAATTTTCACCATTCACAACAATCACAAGGGTAAAAGAAAGTTGTTCTATGATATGACATAAGACATAACAAGAAAACTTGCATAATTTCTTCATTCATTTAAAAATTCATTAAGCCTCGTCATACCCATAGTTTTCTTTTCTTTTTTTTCTTCTTTTTTTTTTGGAAAGGGGATCATACCCTTAGTTTTAGAAAGCACGAGAGTTAAAACTCAATTAGGACCATTATTCATCCAAAGGTCGAATAATTATGAATTTTATTGGGGGATAACCAATAAAGAAATATTCCTTTTAAAAAAACATGGGGTATGAGAGGGGGGGAGAAGTGGAATCGATCAATCATCAATAATATATACTAAAAGACACAACAGCAATGACACATGTCATTTTCTAATGCGTCCTTATTTTTTTTATTTCCACATAAAATATAAATTGTATACATAAAAAAAAATTTAAATAAAAAAAAATATTGATATGCCTTACATATATATACAACCAACAAAAAACTAAGGATTCGTTTGGCATCGCTGTGGTTTTCTGTTTTTTGGTTTTTTATTTTTTAAAAGTATATCATATATGTCACATGATGAATCAAAAATTATTTAGACTTGTTAAAATCATGATAATTTTGAAAACTGCCAACTGAAAAGTGGAAACACCTTTTTCTTGTTTCTTGTTTTGGATTTTTGGTTTTCAAAAAAAAAAGAAACCTGAAAACAAAAAATTATGTCAAACAAGCCCAAAAGTGTGAAACAAATTTCTTATTAATATAAAGAAATTTTTAAGGAAAAAATGGAAATTAAAAATCCAACCTTTGCCCGTTCTTCACTTAAAAATCCAACCTTCATTTAATCTTACAAAAATCCAACCTTTATACCCCACCTTCTCCACCAGATCCATTTTAACCTTTGTTTAATCTTACAAAAATCCAACCTTTATACCCCCCTTCTCCACCAAATCCATTTTATTGGACCTGATAAACAAGTTAAATTTTTTTTTTACCTCATACTTTCCCTTCTCACTCCTCTTTCTCTCTCATCTCTCCTCAAAAGCTGAAACCACACTCCTATTTCAACATGCACCGCCGCCACCTCTGCCACCACCGCTTACCCTACCCAACCCATACCCAATACCTAAACCACCAACCCCACCTAGGCTCGAAATTCACAAAACAAAGATTATTATGGTTGAATCAGGCAACTAAATCGAAGATTGAATCGAAAAACCCTCAAAATGAAGATGATGAAGTGCAACTTGCGATTGACGGCAAACGAAGATGACGATTTGAGTTCGCTTGCACTGCAATTTCAGGTGCCGCGATTTTGGGGACTGAGCATGTTGCCGCTGCAATTGTGCCAATTATTGTTGGTGGTGGGTGATAGGCTAGACGGGCTAGGCGAATTGAGGTTTCGTTTTTTGTGGTTGTTGTGAGGCAGCAGTGTTCGCAGGAAGTTGGTGGAGGTGATGCGTGTGGGTTTTGCGGGGGGGAAGAGATGGGTTTGCTGGGTTCCGATGCGCGGTGGCCGGTGGGGATGGGGTGGTTAGGGAAGGAGGGTGGGGCTGGTTTCTGATTTTTTTTTTTATTTTAAATTTTTTTACTTGTTTTTTTTTAATTATTAAAACTATATGGCATATAATTTACAAAAACCGGTCATTAAAAGGTAATGGATCTTTAGATGAAGTTGGGGTATAAAGGTTGGATTTTTTAGAGAGGACAGCGCAAAGGTTGGATATTTAATTTCCATTTTTTCCAATTTATAATGTGTCCTTCCACTTTTTTTTATTTTTATTTCCTCATAAAATGTAAATTGTATACATAAATAAATAAAAATTGATATGCCTTACATATGTTTAGTAAATCATAATATCTCTATTCTTCTTTGGTTGCATATGTACTTTGAAATTTGAATACAAGCTTACTTTTGCTAAATATTGAAGAGACTTATGAAATTATGGGAAACACTTCATCTTAAAGTATGAAAACATAAGTGAGAATAAACAGACAAATATGAAGACACACCCACCTATTACCATGCAATGATCCATCATCCTCTGCAAGGGCTGCCAAAGAAGCATGAGCACAAGCAGCAGCAACTCTAGGACCTACAGCAGAAGCCAAAAAAGCAACCTGGAAAATGTACACTACCGATCAGAAGTTCAGAACCTATGAAGCCAAAGAAACAAAATCACTAGTATGTTTACTCCAAACAAATTAAAACATTAAATAACGAAAAAAAAATTAGGGTATAGGAAAAAATAAAAAAGAAGAATAAAGAGGAATATGATGTCTGTCATTGTCAATATTTCAAGATGGTAAACCAACTTCTAAATTAAGGGGGGGGGGGGGGGGAATAACAAAGAAAAATCAAAGTTTTTAAAAAATCAAACTAGACCTGTTAAAAAGAACAGGGCCCCAACTAAGGCCCCTACCCCACAGGCCACCACCATCTTGTAAAAGGGTAAAGCTTTTAACGGGGCGGCCTTATCAGGGTTGAAAAGCTCCAAAGGGAAAAATAAAATTGATGACACATGTGTCAATTTCACACATTGTGGCCTTGTATGGGTTGGTAATGGATCGGAGCAGGCTCTTAAAGGGTCACTCCTTATTTATGTTTCATAACCCTTGAACCTATCCTCGGTTACTTTTCACCCACCAAAAATCAAAATATCAATTCAAAATAATTATAAAAAATTTAAAAAAAAAATTAAAAAAAAAAAAAAGGGAAAGAGAGAGAAACTTTAAACTTACATAGCTACACAATTACTCTGTCAGTTTCATCAATACATCATTTTTTTTTTAAATCTTTAAATGAATAGGTTTTACATGTGAAGTTTCAACTCACCGTAGCTCATATCAATTAACTATTCCTAAAACAGATCACGCTGATTTAATTTAAATGGGTTTTACTTGATATTTTATAGGTGCAAATATAACAATAATAATGAAAGGGAGCTACTTATTCAATGAGGCCAAAAGTAAGCACTTTTCATATTTCTAGAATTCTAGTAAATGGAAAAGGTAGCCAAGAAAATTTAAATGACAAAAACGACTGTTTTTGTCGTTTAAATTATTAGTCATTCACCCAGTCCCAAGTTCAAATTGTGCTTATTTTGATCTTTAATTTTGTCGTTTAAATTTTGTAGGTGCACACATACAAACGATATGTGATATATGGAGATATGTTGTTGACAAGGGTTAATGTTTTTTGGTACATATACGGATTTAACTAATTTCATCTAATTGCTCTCTCTTTGTTTATGACCCCATAACTCCCACTTTAAATGCCTTTGAAATTTTCAGATTTCGAATTTCTTAACTCCAAATATAATACATGAAACACTAAAACCGACGGAATATATTATGTGTTATTAATTTATTATACGTGAACTTTAGCCAATTTTGTTTCTGAAACCGTGCATCACACGGGTGGTAACCTAGTTTGGAATAAGAGTTGGAAAATTCTGAAAAATACTAGAGGAAGAGAGAAAAAAAGTAACAAGAGTATGTAGGAGAGAGAAAACATAACCAAAAAAAACCCTCGTCGTCGCCTCTTCAGCCATTGATGTGTTTCTAGCAGAGCTTCTCTCTCCTATTTGTGTGAGCGCTGAGCAACAAGTTTATCATGACTCAATGTTAAAAGTTCTAATTAAGGCCTATTTAAGTGTTGACAAGTTTTTTTTTATAACAATTTAAGAACCCTATTTAAGTTCAAACCAGGCCAGGGCAGATGACCCTAGACCCGCCCAGATCTATTTAAATGTTTATCAAGGCCCGCCCTGACCTGCCCCATTAAGATCTGACCGCGCCCCTGACATGCCCCATTAAATAGGTCTATTTCAAACCATTTAGTATTTTCGGGGGGGAGGGGGCCTTTTTCCCTAAAGCATATACATGCAAATCAATCTGTAAGAATGAAATATGCGCACAGAATAAAGTATGAAAAAGCCATTTGTATTTTGATTGTTATGCAAGTAAAACGAACAGTATGCACATACCAGGGCCATGACAGGATTTGCAGAATTTACGAATGGAAACCTATTTTCAGAAGAATCATGCTCCTGCGGTCCTGAATCAATGACATATGGGTGTGTATTAACATTAAGTTTGATGAAACAAAACAAAGGCAGACATTGCAAGAGAGCAATGATTACATGAGGAAATACACAAGGAGTATAAAAACCTGAAGAAACGCCATTTTCATTCAGACATGGTCTATCATGATTGTCCATAACCGACCCATTAGTTTGACCAGAGGAACATGGAACTTCAACTTTTTCTAGTAAGCCATCCTCTACGGGCAAACGAAGAAAGTGAAGAATGCATTGTGCCTTTGACTTAGTTCCAACATGCTCAGCTATTTCATTCCAGCTATCATTAAAAATTTCAAGTGCCTCGAGAAGTAGAAGTGTTTCCTGATCAGTCCAAGTATCTCCATCTTGATCACCATATTCTTTTGAAGGATCTATCTTAATGAAATCCATGCTTGAATGACCAATAATAAGCCTCCCTTCATGGTAGCAATCAGAACACAGCATTGTATCACCCTGTTGACGAAAGATTATTAGGTGAAGAAAATTGCATGAAACTAAGACAAACAACAAGGCCATGCCACCTCCAAAAAAAGGGCACAGGTATAAAAGGTCTTGGATTCATCAAGTGGAAATCAAAAAAGATAATATATCAGGCATATCTTTAAGTCAAACATGCCAATAAATAGAAACAGGCTCATCATGTTTTTTCCTCTTCTTTAACCCATTACCCACATAGAACCAGTAATTAGAAATGTAAAAGATACATGTACAAGGCCATCACTTGCTATGCAGGAAGCTTCTTTCAACTTAGTGACCTGCTAAGGACAAGGCTTATAGTGATAAATTATTACTCCTTTCCCTTTACATGGCATTTGGTAATACAAAACTCACCTTTGTTATCTTAAAACTTGAACCACAGATTATATAGGCCTCTTCCTTGACACAATTCACATTACAGTAGAGTTCAGCAATGAATCACAATCTATAGCCCAATTATCATGCTCCTAAGTCTTCTAGGACAAGTACCAAAAAGTATGTTGCAGTCATCAGTTTAGAAAGAGGACAGGTTACAAGCACTAAAGCTTGGATAACTCCATCTAGTCCATTTTTTCTCAATATGTCCCCGGCAGATCCAGGGTATAGCCAAAACAGATTGGGGCTTCAAAAAATATGTCTATGTTTTAGGGTCAGTTAAACCATTTACTAAGCTGAGCATGGTGCATAGCCCTATAGAAATAGTCTAAATTATGGGGTTTTTTTTTATTCACAGCAAAAGAGTCGATTTACAGAAAGTCAAGGGAGCATGACCCTAAAAAACAAAACTAGCAAGCAACCCAATGGCATGCACATGTATATGCACCACTTTGGTAATTTAAGATGTGAAGATGATGGGATTGGATAAATAAGCGAACTCTATCTTGAACATGGAATAGTTTGTGGAGTAAAATAAAGAGGTGAGAATTGAAACAGCTCATGTTAGCTTGGTTGGTGACACCAAGTCATGAGTAACCCGTGAGATCGAGATGGGTCAAACACTTAACCAAAGAAACTAAAACAAGTATCATTAACATCAATATGACTTCAAATACACAAAAAATGTCTTTTTTTTTTCTCCTTTAATGCAAGCCCTTCCTCCATCAATAAAATGTATTCAAGTATCCCTCCCACTTGGACTCTTAATCCACCATGGTCAGTGCTTGGATGTAGATGCTTATACTGATTTTTTTATTTTTTTTAATTAAGAACTTTATTTATCAAACAACTATACAAATATTTATTTCGTTGAAATTTGATGTCCAATGACCAATCTGGATCTTGTGAAAAAAAATTCCAGTAGCAAGGAAAATCTAAGTCTAAATGATCCAAGAAAAAAAGAGAGTGAGAGATAGAGAAAGAAAAACAAAGTTGGAGAAATAGTGACAATTCTAGGTAAAGTTTTGTTGATTGATTGTTTTGTGTTATGGATGTCCTTGAGTCTACCTTCCAGCCCCATCCCCCCCACCCCCCGGCAGGTAAAAAAATTGTTTGAAATTCGAATTCCCTACTTTGGGTAATCAAGAAACAACTAACCAACTCTAACCTTTTACCCACCACTAAAAACACCCCTCAGTGCCGCCACTGCTGCGTTTGATAACCACCATTCTACCAATATCACTTAGCCCCTAAAATTATTAAAAATCACATATCAGAACCATAATTTTTATCCCATGATCAATAGCCCCCTTCATCATCCAATGTAAAAACCATGGTCATCTTTCCTCCTGTCACATGAAGTCTGTGACTCTAGCATGAAGTCTTAAGTGTAAATGTAATAGTAAAGAGGAATGAATTAAAGGGAAGATGGCAAGGATAGCCGAGGACTGAGGCTTCTAGGGAATCATTGAAGTTGGTGTAAGTGAGATGAGGAGGAGACAGTACTAGGGGGGGGGGGGGGGGGGGCATTATTACACTAACCAAACAACAATAATTCCTATTTACTTAGAAATAGGATGCTCGGACTTGGGTACGGGTGTTGGACTCAAGTATGGGTCCAAGTGTCAAAAAATTATAAAATTAAGAATTTGTGGACACATTTTAAAAGAGTCCAAATTCAAATTTTGGACTCAAGGACATGGCAATAAAAAAATCAAAGTAAGAAAAGTTAACGTAGAAATAAAAAGTATTTTATTAGGAAAAAAATAAAAAGTATTTCATATTAACTATTCAGATGTAAAAAAAGATTTAAAAGAAAAAGAGAATAAAAATAAATAAAAAAATAAAAGAGAAAACATCAAGTAAAGGAGTCACGTGAGGTCCTCCACCTACCCCACCCACATAAATACTGAGTATATTCCCTACCAACCCCACCCCTTGTTTTTTTTAAAAAAAAAAAAAAAAAGAAAAGAAATTGCAGTTAAACATGTCAAAGAAGTTGAAGAACCAGCCTCCCATCGCCGAGAATGAAAACCGGTAATCTCTTAGTGTCGGCCTACTCGCCTTTCACTTACGAAAAAAAGCCCAAGGTTTAGACTCCTTATTTGTGATTCCTTTCTTCTAGTTTAGCTCTAGTCCATTTTTATACCAAGCGTCCGACTCAGATTCCGTGTCCGCAGCCAGGTCGCGTCATGTCGACACCGATACGGGGGGTGGTTGCCCGAGTCCAAGCTTCGCAGAATTAGAGTACCCAACATACAACATGTTTAATGGAAGGGTTTTTATCTGTTTCCATTTCTTGATTACATTCTTAAGGTAAAACCAGACATCCCCTTAAATCAGAGCATTAAACCTCTGGAATGTATCGTATCTTTTTATCATACATATCTCACATTCCTTCTCACTATTATCTTTCTAAAGTTGATTTGACATAAAATTTAGAATAAATTGTTCTAAATTCTGCTACAAATGTCAGCAAACAGACCAAAAAACATCAGATGACTCAAATTCAAGTGTAGCTCTTTTAATTACTATATTAAATGATTTAAAAAAGTCCATCCCTCATTATATTTTGACCAATTAACATAATAGGGCTATGATATAGATACTTTTTCAAAAGGAGTTCCTCCATTTCGATAACAGAAAATAAGAGTACGTATTGTACCTTTCATTTAACAAAAGGAGTAGCATAAAATGGCAAAGCTAAAGTGCATACGAATAAGATTGAAAGACTGTGCCTCATTATAGCATAAATGGTAACCAAGATTGCCAAAAATCAGAAATTAAATAAAATAAATTAAAATTAAAAAAAGAATGCAAGGTAACTATGATAGCCAAAGAAAATGAAAAAAATGCAATTTACCTCCTTAATTGACTGATAATATGCCGTTAACAGGGGCTGAGAGCAAAAATTACAGTTACTTTCTGATAACATCTCCCGTACTCTACTGTCCAAGTCAGCAATATCAGGGGAAGTTGAGGGTAATGACGAGGGCAAATCACAAGACTTCAACCTACATTTTGGAAGGTCAAACTTGATTAAACTATCAATGGACTTCAACATAACTGAAGGCACATGAACTTCGCCATTTGAATCCTCTCTCAAATACGACTCAAAACTCCAAGACTCCTGAGGAGGCGAAGGAGCACAATAGTTAATGATCCCCCAATGATCAAGGAAACGGAAGATTCGACTGAGATCTTCGTGATCAACACCAACAACCAATTCTTGGCAATCCCCAATTGATAACCTCTTCTCCAAGTTTTCCATGTATTTGGCAACAATTAGATTACGACAATCCAGATATTTATCAGCATTGTGTTCAGCAGACTTGCCAGAAAAAAAATGAGGCACCACTTGCCGTTCCAACCTGTGCACTGTTGTTGGTTGAAACCACTCTGTTGATGAAGAAGAAGACAAAGGTCAAGAACAAATGAGGTTGAATGGTAATAAACAATTAAATCAACTTCATAGAAAACCAAGCAATAACTTGGGTTAGCTAGAATAATATTGTTATAAAAAGTCCCAATTATCCAGTTAACTAGAATAATTAATTAGATGGGGATTGAGCTAACAAATAGTGATGAGTATCTATCAGCATATTACAACCTAATATTGATCAAAGAGGCAACGACCAAAACAAAAATAGTGTAATCACATCTGAACATAGATCATAGAGGCAACCCAAACAAAAGTAATGATTCTTCGTTGGAGAGAAGAAAGGCAATAGAGATACCTGCGTGAAAGGGGAGAACATGAAGCCTGTCCCAAAACATCTTAACCACACCCCTACCTTCCCTAATGGGAGGTGGGGTAATAACAACTGAACTCTCTTGGTCCCCTGAACCTGAACCCAAACCCAAACCCAACAGAGCAGGGTTATCTGCTGGCACAGCAGACAATGCCTGAAGCTGCCCGTACGATATATTCTCCAAAATGGCACCTCCACCCTGCCCCTGCCCCTGCCCCTTGATTTCTCTTTCTCTCTCAGCAGCAGCAATTTCTAGCACAAGCGAATGGGGCCTGTTCACATCATACTTCATGGCAGCAGGGAAGTCCGAGATTCGGATGCCACTTCCAGAGATCACTTCAGGTCCGGATATTGCCCTAATTCTGGGATTTTGGGCATTCTTAGGGTTAGGGTGGAGGTCCTCGTCTTCATCTACCTCTGCCGCAACCTCGTTCTCTTCTTCTTCATCTTCTTCTTCCTCATCACCACTACGGTGCCGTTTCATGGTCTTTGGCCCCCTTGCTTTACGCCTTTTGTGCCGAGCGTCTGCACAAATTAGTGGAAACAATAATATAAAAAATAGAGCGTTATCAGACAAAAGAGAAACGAAATGGAGTGAATTTACTTTACCTGATGGAGAAGTTGGCATTGTACCAGCAAATTAGGAGGAAGAAATAACTGTGGGGTCTGTGATGCGTATAGTTATTAGTGGAGTGACAAAAGGAGAAAAGGAGCGAGGGAAAAGGGCAGATATTCAAAATCCAGCAGCACCAATGCAACCAAATTTGACTCTATAATCATATTAGGCTCGAAATCACATAGAATTCTTCTCGCTTGACAATATCAACTTCAGTAATTATGGCCAATAGTTCAATAATCCATGCTAAAAGAACCCTAAATTGACTTTACTGACAACCAAATCAACAATATGTCTGAAACTAAACCCTAGGTTTGCCAAATTCATATTTGATGATTACAGACGAAAAAAAATTGTTTACCTCAGAATCTGGTTCAATGGAGGAGAGAAAGCTCAAAAGCCGCCTTAATGGAGGACTCAAAGTACGCTTCAATGGAGGAGAGAGAAGGGGTACAGCGTAAAAATGAAAAGCTCCAAAGAGAAAAATAAAATTGATGACACGTATGTCAATCGTACACATCAACAGTAAAATTCAGGCTATTCCGTTTTTTTTAGTGCGGTGTGCATAAACTATGTCGAACTGTAATTTAGACTTGAATCGGACCCGATCTGGTGATTGAGTCCGATCCACTCTTTAATCAAAGAAAATTTAATATTTTGGGTTTCTGGTCGATCAATGTAAGCCCAGATTATAATCTTGTTTCAGTGAAGTTTTGTACTCCGTAATTTGTTAAGCACTTATGGGGGGTATTTAAGGGGTGGTTAGGGATGTTTATAAAGAAAATTAGGGTTTGTGGGGGTGTTTGTCGTAGTGTGTCCTTTGGTTTATAGGTGGGTTTTTTTAGTGGTGTTGGGTGATTAGTGGGTTTTTTCAGGTGGGTCTTGGATGATTTTTGGTGGACAATGGGTTTTGTGGTGGTTTTGGTGGCGATTAGAAGTGGTGTTGTCGGGTGGGCGGTGATGAATTTCTAGGGTGTTACATTATAGTAGCTAAAAATTTGAAAACCTAAGCTGTAACATGTTACAATAGGTTATTAATTTAATACCTGAAATCGGAACCTCTTGTACATGTTATGGTTCAAGTTCCGGGACCTCTGGTTCCTAACAAAGTTTTGATTTCGGTCAAAGGTACTCTGATTGTTTGCTCATCCCTTATATTTATATCAATTAGGAATTGTATGGGTTCAAGTGGTAATAGTAGAAGATGTTATCATGGTTTAATGTGGAAATAGTCTTTTTTTTGACAAAATTCACTTTCCAAAGTCTCTTAGTGTACAAGTAAATTTAAAGGTCCCTGATAAACTATTTTTGTTATGACTGTTTTGCTAAATCAGCCTTTAAGCATCCACAATGGTTGTGCATAAGGACCTACTGACATTTTCTAAATAATTGTTAGCTACATGCTAGCTATTGTGGAGCTACAACCTCTTGTAGCTAAGTCAAACTACATACCCAATGCTATTATATTAATTTGTTTAATATAATTTATGTATTTGTTAGTATATTTATTTATTTTATGTCATCACGTGGGACATAATAAAATTACAAAAAAAAATAATGATGTAGCAACTTTTAGCTACATGTACATGTAGTTAGCCATTGTGGATGCTCATATAGTCCTTAAACTATTCTCTTTAATCAATAAATTTGGCAAGTCCATATACAATTGTATTAAATAATAATTAAATTTTACCACATACTTTTAAATGATCCCTAAATTACTGATGACTATACAAGGTCTGTAAATTATTGATCGAAAATAGTTTTCTTTTGTGGCCTAGGGACCTATTTCCTCTCACTTAATAGTTAAGAGACTAAAATGATATACGTAGTAAATACTACCTCCGATTCAATTTAGTCGCAACAAAATACAAGTTTTCGGAAACTAAGGCAAAAGATTGAAAACATGATTATGGAAAAATAAGGGTATATGTTTAACTATTAATCCATAAAAAAAAAAGAAGCAAATTCAACCTTAATTTAATTAAATAACCCACTAACACCACCAAGCATCACCCAAACCACACCACCCAGTACCAAACCCACACCGTCAACGCACCACCACCACCCTATGCACCCAGCAAACTGCCGACGCACCACCACCACCCCACACACTCAACAACCCGCCATTTCACCACCAGCAACCCACGAACCCAGCCACCCCACGAACCCATCAACCCGTCGACCCACCACCACCCCACGCACCCATCAACCCACAACCTCGAAACTCAGAACCACACGTTCGAGTTAATAACCATGAACCCAGCACCGCTGATCTGCAACCACAAACCCAGCACAGCCTATCTGCAACCACGAACCCAGCACTGCTGATCCATCAACCCACCAAACCAACGAAACCTACCCAGGAAACCCGACCCACGAATCAAACCCACGACGCCGCCGATCTGCAACCCCCGCCACTCTTTACACCACGAAGCTACCATGAAAATGAGGTTGGAGGAGGAGAGAGAAATTAAAGGAGACGAGGTATTGAGGGTTTAATTAATTAAGCTTGGAGTTTAATATAATAAAATCAGATTTGTAATTTAATAAGGTTATTTTTTTTTAAAAAGTAAGGGTATATTGCTTAATTACTACCCAAAAACATATTAAAGAGGAAAGAAACAAATTTGTTGCGAGTAAAGTAGTGAACCACCTAAAAAAGGAAATTGTTGCGAGTAAATTGAACCGGAGGTATTACGTTGGTTTCTTAACTTATTAGGGCCCGTTCTCTTCACCTTAATTTTGTTGAACTGAAATTTTTTTTATTGGACTGAAATTATTTTTGCTGAACTTAAATTATTTTTACTGAACTGAAATTATTTAATAAAACTGAATTTTGCTGACCTGAACTTAATTTTACTGGTTTAAAAAAGAAAACCTTATTTTTACTGAAATGAATTAATTTTTGCTGAACTAAACTTATTTTTACTGAAATGAAATTATTTTTACTTAATTTTTTTTTTTTAATAAGGTGAAGAGAACCTGACCTACGGAGTATAATTTTCTACGAAGCACAACGGAATGGGGGAGTAACCCACTATAGAGTATATGAGTATTCCGTAACTGTTCATAAAAAAATACGAGTACTTTTTTAGGCAGTGACTTCTACATTTTCTTTGTTTCCCAATTCCCAGGATTTACTGACTCAACCAGCAACCGAACTGCCGACCTACGTCTCCGGCTTGACCGCAACCATTGCCTGTCACAACCACGTATCCACCACCACAAGTCCACGAGTCGGTGGGAGCTCTCTGAGAGGCAACAATCTCCTTGCTCATCATCATTTGAAAAAGGTTAGGGTTTCTATTAATTAAAAAGGTCTTGTTCCTAAATTTTGTTTCCTGAAATTTTTATTGCATTTGCTTAATTGGTTGTTGATGCTAGTAATGTAGACAACTTTAGATAAAATTGTAATTTAGTTTCGGATTTTTTTGTAAATCAGTGAGCTGTTAAGTTTATATCTTATCGTTGAAGTTAGAATAAATGTGATTATCAGATCATGTGAATTGTAATTGGAATCAAAATTGAAAAGAGGATGGATTATATAATATAATTAAACTTATCTGGAGAGATTTGTTTTTGGATGTAAGCATAGATGCTATTGTAGATTGTACCAAAGTATGAAAGTTGAAATCAATTGTAATAATTTTTGTAAGTACTTTTAGGCCGTGATTTGAATATTTACGTGTTTTTGAATGAAACTGTATGATATGATTTTTTTTTTTTTTTGCTTTGCTTTCTTGTTTTGGCTGTTAATTGGCACAATGGCACGTGGTCAGCGGTGGTCTTCCATTCCTAAAATTTCAAATCTGTCAGTGGCTTCAATACAGATTGCCGTCATTGTATCCACTCCCTTATCAATTTTATCAATTAATTCCTTCTAAATTATTTTTATGTTGCCTTTATCTCGCAGGAGGCTGAATGGCACACTCTCACAGTCAAGTCAGTTTAGGACTCACTCAACCTACCAGTGTTGAACCTATTAAGGTTTATTTCTCATCATTATCAGCAAAATTTTGAAGCTTATTTGCATTTTGTGCTTTGCCTGCATTTTTAAAGTTTGTTCCTATCCACTTTCTTTTGTTTGTTTTATTTTTTTTTATATTACTTCTTTATCACTAATCGTGCTCTACTTTACTGGTTGGATCTCTTGTTTAGCAGACTTGAATATTAATTTGTTTAGCAGACTTGAATATTAATTAGTGTTTCCTTTTGAATATAAGTGTCACCTGTAGATTCTAAACTCTAACTGTTGAAATTTGATTGAAGGTATCATTTACGGTGAAAGATGTAGACGTGACAGAGTGGAAAGGAGACTTGCTTGCTGTGGGTGTTACAGAGAAAGACTTGAGCAAGGATGACAATATGAAATTTGAAAATTCTATCTTAAAGGGGTTAGATTCCCAATTAGGTGGTTTGTTAGCTGAAGCCTCTGTTGAGGAGGATTTTACAGGCAAGGCTGGCCAATCTGCTATTTTTAGGCTTCCCGGATTAGGATCCAAGAGGATAGGATTGATTGGACTTGGTTCTGAGCCTCCTTCTCTGGCAGCATACCGTGGTCTAGGTGAAGCTCTTGCCACAACTGCAAAGGCTGCTCAAGCTCGTGCTACTGCTGTGTTCCTTGCTTCTTCTGAGGGGCTTTCAGCAGAGTCAAAACTTAACACTGTTTCCGCCATCGTATCTGGTAAATGCCTCAACTTCATTCCTTGTTTGATGCTTGTCGTTTGCACTTTTCCAGTCCATGATACTTCATATTTATGTGGTGAAATGTCTGTGACAGGTACTATCCTTGGAGTGCATGAAGATAACAGGTTTAAATCAGAGTCGAAGAGACCACTTCTTCAATTTGTGGATATTGTTGGCCTTGGAACTGGGCTTGATTTAGAGAAAAAGCTTAAATTCGTTGAAGATACTTGTTCTGGAATTATATTTGGAAGAGAGCTGGTTAATGCACCTGCTAATGTACTTACTCCTGGTTAGTATGGCTCTTATATTTTGTTAGGTTCCAGTTGAGCTTTCTTTCTTTCCGTGTTCACCTGCCTAAGAGGTTGGTACAAGTTTATTGAATTTCCAAGGGCAAATGATACATTTTTTATCTAAATATTTTTTGAGTTGAGATGGATTCAGAGTAGGGGATAAGAAGAATAAACTACTAAGCTGTATTACTCCAGGACTAAATACAAGAGTTGTTGATATATTCCTCAGGAGTGCTTGCTGAAGAGGCTTCCAAGATTGCTTCAATGTACAGTGATGTTCTATCAGCAAAGATCCTTAATGTAGAGCAGTGCAAAGAACTGAAAATGGGATCTTACCTTGCTGTTGGTGCAGCTTCAGCAAATCCGCCACATTTCA